CATGTTAGCTTATTTTTGTGTTAGTAAAATTTCACTTTTATTGTAACCCTGACAACTACAATCATTCATTAACATAAATAAAACTGTTGGGGATTATTTATTGATTTGTTTGTTGATGACTGAAAAGAAAAGTATCATTATTTTTATTTTCTTAATTTTTGTTCTTTTTTTCAAAAATACAGTAAAATAATAATTTCTCTTTTATGCTATTCTACTAGACTTAATAAATAGATAAATGATCCAATGGTTCAAATAATCAATCCTTAATTATTAATTGATAATACTGGGAATTATTAAAATCAGATAAGTGTAATTTATTTTTTACGGAAGAAAAAAAAAGTAAATCTATTTATTCTTCTTGTTAAATATTTGTTTATTTATAAAGAGAGAGAGAGAGAGAGACAAAAAGAGAATGAATATCTAATTCACGATTACGATGAAAAGTCAATAATGCATAGTTGATCATAGACTGTGTAATTTTCATCTTTATGATTAATGAATTGGAATGTGAGACAACTATACAACTGACTTCTTTATATTATTATATGATTGTTTGAACAACGTAAATTTTGTTAGAAAATTGATTTACGCGTTCATAAGATTGATTAAAGAATACTCTTTCGTAAATATAGGATATAGAGAGGATACTATAGCAAAGATCCAAAAGAAAAATATTAGGAAGAAACGTTCTATTTTACTCATCTTTTAAACATAGGCCGAGTGAAAAAAGCAATATGAGGTTATGTCAAGAAGAAACTCTGAATTTTTGGATCCCACGCAGTGAACTCATCTTCAAACACTACTTTGTTTGGCTGTCAAAATCTAGATCAATCCACAGCTCAATTTTGAGGCGCCTCATTGTTAATATTCACTTTACCTCATTGTACTTCCTCTTTAAAACCATTCATGATAATATAGATAAACTACTATGAAGTATGTATATAAAATGTATGCACCTCAAGGACTAGCAATTCACCTATTTAAGCATGAACTATGTGCAATCACAGAATGCTTAATCTCTCATTTAATCCCCCTAATATTCGACATTTAAAAATTTCCTTTTACTATAGTTTGATGTTTCCCATCTCTTGAGCAATTGTTATTAGCACTTTCAAACTTTGTTTTATCAATTTCGTGATTACTTCATTATTTTTATGTTCGTCAAGTCGACACTTGCATACGTCTCATTTACAATTGTTTCCGAATAATGTGCTACATATAATAAATAATTAAACACAATTATGTACCGTTAAGAAAGGCTATTGCTGGAGAAAAAGCTTTCCTTGCCAAGTAGTCGGAATTTTTTTATCGATGACAACAAATTTCTTTAGTTCTATAAATTTTACCTTACTAATATATACCATCGGTAATCAATAGGTTAAATTTGATGCGGTTATACGAGAAATGCATTTGTTTGAAACTAGTTGAATTACGATATTAAAATTACATTGAAAAAAGCCCTTTAAGTAAACCTATTTTGTATGCTAAAAATCATCAAAATGACTTCGTATAAACACTAATAATAAACATGAAATGTTGAAACTAATGCTGATGTTTTCTGAGCCGATTTATTCCAACAAATTGTAAAGAAGTTTGCTTCGAAGAAAACTGTTGTGACAATAAAATAATAAAGAATTTGAGCTTAGTTGATAATCGACACGGTGATACAGTACGATTTATACATCTGTTCTAGATTAGATGATAAAACTGGAGGCACTAAGTCACGATGCGAGATAATTAGGCCACTATAATGCCACATGGTAATTCGATACAGTTTCTGACTTACAATTGAGAACCACTTATTAGATCAGAACCCCAGTTTACTAACTCAAAATGTAGAACAGTTACCTCATGTGAGGTCTGAATAGAAATTTAGTAAAATCAACCTTTAGCCTATATAATTAGTATTTGTCTGTCTTTGCTCAGTGGACAATCACATCTTCAATTAGCCAAAAGTCAATAATATATGTTGTCCATAATTTGAACAAAATCTAAGAAGAGATTTAAAATGATGAGTTACGTTACAACTGATGCTTAATATCTTCATGCTGCTTCTTACTAATTGAACTGCGAATCTTGTACTGTTTACCCGAATGCACCCATGCAAAGTCGGATAGAATAAAAGAATTCTCTTGTTTTCTCAAAAGATGACTGACCGGCCCAGGAACTCAGAGGCCTCTGCTCTTAAATCCTATTTTTATCCAACTTTCCTATTCATCCTTATGTGAACAAGGCAATTTGTCACAGATCTTACTACAGATGGGATAATCTGTAATATTGATTTTTTAGATTTATCATCACAGGTCAAAGAGGGAAACGAAAGTGAATAGTGACAACAGTTTATAATTAACAGTAATTATGGCCTCTGACATTTATTCCAACCTCACTTAGTAAAGTTCAACCTGAATTCACTGATTAATGATTATTTTGATGAACTGACTAAAGTTATATGACCTGTTCTAATAATATCCTGAGGAACAAACAATATGGAAGTATTTTCAGAATGATTTTTATTTATAATTCTTTCATGTTATTATTTGACAGTCGGGTAGGTATATGGCAAAATTTAATGAAAGGACATTTTGCTGGCAGTTCTCAAAAGTATTATTCATATTTTCGTGATAATTATCCGACCTTATAAATAACTTCATAGAACTGAAAGGTTTAATTAATAATTACTAGAATTTATAAACATTTTTCTATATGAAGTATTAAATAGTGGATTAAGTTAGTTTTTATTGGCTCAGATGAAATCGACAGTCCAAATAACATTGTAGAAACTGATCGGTGAACAAACAGACCACCTAGCTGATATATCGACCAAATACTTCTAATTTATGAAAAACTTTTAAAACTCTAAACATCTGAAAGGCTTCGCATTATATTTTCCCTTTCATCGTACAGCTTTAGTAGTTTCCGAAATAACTATCTATAAATCAGTTATAGAACAAGTTATTTATGGAATACGTTTATTTGTACTCGACTGTAAAACAGATAAGGAATGAAGATTTTTCAAATCCTCTACATGATTATAAAATGAGTGCATGTTAGTGATGTACTATAAAATGACCAATTCTTATTTTAAATTATTTATTATTATCGTACCAATCTACTCGATCAAATCAGCATGTTACAAACAAAAAGAATCGTGAAGTCTTAATAAGAAGCCATGATTTATGAAGAGTAACCATATCGAGATTGAAACAGATATCGCAGATGGTATTTCATTGACGACCACCCTATATCGCAAGTTGATATTAATCGGAATATGTTATTCTACACTTTCAACTTTAATTGATTTGTGATAATAATCTGTCCATTATCCAGCCCCATCACCTGTAATTTTCGGGTTATTCAAAAGCTCATGTTTTAGTGGTTTTCCAACTGATGCCTAACGTCTTAAGTTTTTTTTCTACGTAGAATTGGGATCCTATTAGACATGTAGGTAGCTCGAAACAACAGGAATTCTCAACCAACAATCAATTATTAAATCTCTTAGCTGCGCAGATTATTTCATTTTAAATGAAAAGTACACGCTCAATACCGATTGATTTCCGCGAACATGGAAATCTATCTTATACGCATTTCTAGTACACTAATATTATAATTACTGGCTATTTAAGTCCTGATTTTTTTAATTGGATATAAAGCCTGATTCCAAATATTTTCTTTTCCACTCTGCTTTGTTTATACTAGAAAATGAAAGATAGTTGACAAGGGAGTTCTGAGCCTTAGTTTCGCGCTGACAGACGTCCATCTTCAAGAGAAATATGTGCTTTCGAACTTATTATCATCAAGCCACCAAGTGGTATTATGTCGAATCGCTTTACCAGTGGCCAAGCTACATAGAAACAACAATAAAATCTGATTAAGAAAAAAATTATGACATAGATGACGAAATATTATGCAGACTTGTCTACCAAATCACCGAAATTTCATTTGTGATCCCAGTCCATAAAACTCGATTCTAATGAGTCTCGAATATGTGTATGTATTTCAACAGGTCAGTTGTTTTGAATTCTGACAACTATTCCGTTGTGATTTAAACAGACCATGTTTTTAAACAACTAAATTACTACAGCCTTTAACCAATTATTATATTATTATGTTAATATAACTCAGGCTTATTTATATGCTTAATTTCGAGTTATACACTTTATATGGGTTAGTGATATCCATCGTTCATTCAAACCGAAGTATGTGGGGTGGAGTAATAGTATGCAGCCTAGTGATTAAAAGCCATATGCACAGTAAATACCAAAACCTAAAGCAATCACCTCACTTTCATTACATTTCTTAACAATTAGGTCAATTTTTGATATAGTGGGAATGTTTTAATGATGTAGTGTTCACTGGTCAGAATGACCTCAACTTGAATATCTATGTCGTAAATACATGTTCAATAACCATAAGACAATTAAATAATATTAACTTAGCTTGATCTCAGTATTCCTTTACATCTTGTGAAAATACTGAATAAAAATACCACTAAATTCTTTGGTAACTCTTGAAACAGTTAAAACTAGAATTCTAGTATATCTTTAGTATTGTATTTAAACGGAGACTACTTAAATGCTCAGTTTAAAAGGAAGAAATATTATGGGCAAAAGACACACAAATCCACAATTTCACGAGATTTCCGAAAATAATGACTTTCTGGGTTTACATATACAGAAAAAAGATTTATATTTTTATTCAAATGGGGAGTTTATGAAATTTCGTACCTCACATCACTAGTCAACTGTATCTAGACGACTAGTAAAATCCAAAAAGCATTGGACATCTATTCCGTCCTGTTATGGGACGACTCAGTAGTATGTATTAGGGACCCTTAGGCCTTGGAGTGAGCACTTAACTTTCAGAACTGACAGAGCGACAAACTAGAACGAGATAACTGTCTAGTGCTTTCTGATTTTCAATGATTAACCAACTATAGTGAACCCGCACTGTAAACTACAAGAATTCTACATAACTATGAGCTTCTTTTTATTGAGAATGCATAATTTTATTTATTATTTATTTGAACACATAAATATTGCTACAAAGAGGCACCAAATACATATGCGCCACACAACAACAATGAAGATGTGAAAAGAGAGAATCTAAAGCGTTTATAATAAAAAGGAGAACAAAGAATAGAAATTAATGTATGAAAGTGAAATAATGAATAATAATAATATTTATAGGAGAAATAGTTCAATTAGCAAAAATATAACTAGAAAGAATTCTTCCAGTTAAAGAAGTTACGTTCACTTTTATGAAGAAAGTAAAAGAAGATCATAACAGAATAGCCACTAGCTTCTATTCTGAGTCAACTCCGCCTGTAGCTCTCCTAGAGTTACTGCCGGTCCCAAGCCCGGATAAAGGAGGAGGGTTGGGCATGGGGTTAGCATCCCCATCCCGTAGAAAACTAACTCGCTAAAAAACGCTAAGTCTATTCTGAGTCACGTCCCTAGTCACTGTGCTGCACCATCTCTAGGACCCCAATCAGGGGTCCCGGTCAGTCCTGCCCCCAAATGCCCTGGTACGGCCGAGAGTGGGGAGAGTCCGCTCTCCCTCTCGAAATGCTCTCATATGGCCACGCGTACATAGCCCCTGCTAGGGAAGTCTTACTCACTGCCTTCACGTGGCGAGGGTGTTGTTTACGAAAATGAGAGGACGAAAAGCGAATGTCCGGCGCTTTAACCGGATCCCAAATCAATGGTGCACATGGGCTCCAGTATCCTGTGGGAACAAATGGCGTATGAACCAATCGTTGGTCATCGGCTACCATGGGACTGCATCTCCTCACGATGCTCCACTGCCTTGTGGGTCAGACGTTCAGGTCAAAGGCTCGGGGTTTGGTCCCCTAAGACAACCACCTGCTTCGGTTTGGGCACCCGGGCAGTATCACAGCCCTCACACAAATCAATTGAGATTCGTGTGGCGCATGTGTATTTGGTGCCTCCTTGTACCAATACCTATGTGTTAAAATAAATAAATAATAAATAGTACAGCTTTCTTTCATACCACGATACCATGTCAGACACTGACCACTTCTCTGCTTTTCCAACCCTTCCCAGTGTCGGTAGATAATGCACAACGTAGAATTCTCTGAAACGACATTCGCAAGACATATTTAAGTCGCCGTTTCAAGATAGTGACACTAATTGAATTATCATCGCTGTGTCGGAACACACGATGCCGAACTAACATGGTGTTGCCAGTGGATGTCGGCAATTCTTCGGAAACAACAACGATTTAACACAAAGTGGTCCAACATCCTCATCTCAAATAGGTCAGGTCACATAAGCATAGACCGAAACTGTTCTCGACATATTGTAGATCCGACATTTTACAGACAGACTAACATCACAAACCCGCCAACGATGTGCCGGATTAGCTTGAGTTGCTCTGGCTTTCACTATACGTGAACTGATCTCATCACTCACGCCACCACCAGCACTTATGCAGCTACCTAGATACACAAACGTCTGGACTACTTTTATCTGCTCACTACCAATTTCAAGAACAGTAACTTTTCCCTACCTTCTGTCCTCCCAACACATTTAGGGGATGATTGTCTTTCTTCCATGGTTGTCGCTTTTTGACAGGTATCACCTGATACGACAATGTCAATATATGCTCCCCTCACCAATCAAATATATATCGTCATACATGCATGCCACGGCCTGATTATAGCTTCTTTACACTTACCTCTAAGCGAAACTGATTGTATGAGGTCTTTTATTGCTAGCAGCCAGCCCGAAACCTCAAGTAATTAATGAGTAGGGAGTTGGAACCTTCAAACGATTTCGAGCATTCTAACCAGCAAGCTACCGCTTCATATATGCATATAGGATATAAAACGACATCTGAACACACTTTATGTAGAAAATGATGTTTCACATTAATTTTGTCATCATCGTCAGCAACAATAATAGAAATTAAAATAGACGTATCTTTTTCTAAAGAATAAGAAATCGAAGTGAATGAATAAAGTAGGAAATTATCAGTGTATTACAATAACAGAAATATTTGTAAAAGAAAATCAAGATTAAACAACAAAATATTGAAACATTTAGTATACAACAAATAATTAGTATATTATATACGTACATTCTTCGTAATACATACATAAATTACAAAGAAAATAAACTTGCTTCTTCCTTGTCAAGTGGGAAGAAAACAACCATGTGGTAAAAAAAAAGACAAAAATAATCAATGAAGTACAAATATACCTCCAAAAGATACCAGTGAATTCAATTAAATTGACACACATACATAAAGAAGAAAACACACTAACTGCAAATCAATTCGTCAGACGGAATAACAAAACTACATACAAGAGAGTATAAGAAATTGCAATGAATGAAACAAGAATAGAGATGAGGACTAGACAAGGATATCGAGCTAGTGTGGTAGTGAAAGTAGATTTTCACAAAAAATCTGTCAGAAAAGAAAACAAAAACTCTTTAAAGGAAAGAATTAATTAAAAACCAGACTAAAACCAACTAGAAAGGTTCCTGACTGTATAAGTTGTAATCAACGAAAAGAAAGTTCACTCAGATTGGCAAAAGTGTTGCAGAATGTCATGAAGAAAAAGAACAATTAGATTGATTATCTTGTTTCTAGATCCAGAGTAGTACCAAAATAGCGATCGCCAAAATTTCCAACACCTGGAACAATGTGATAACTATCATTCAAACCTGAATCTACAGCAGTAGTTACAATGTGAGCCTAATATGAACAAAGAAGCAATGAATAAAATGGATTATAACGATGAAACAAGACAATGAAAAAGACACACAAGATTAATAACTCAGCATTTGTAGAACAAAAACAAAATTTATTTGAACGAAGAATATTCTTTACGATAAATTCTCTTCAGGTTCTACAATTCATATATCCAAATTAATAATCTGAAAACTGGCCAGGTTAAGGGCAAAGAACATCGTTTAAAGTATGTGAATTTAGGATTTTTGAACAAAATACGCACCCAATGATGACACCGAGGCTAAAAGACGAATTACCTAGAATGACCACCTCATTTTTTATTTATCAGTTCGACTGCTCCTGTGGAGCGAGTTATATTGGTCGAAGTTCTAGGAATTTACATTTTCGTACAATTGTGTTTTAATATACTTTGCCCTTAACCTGGCCATTTTTCGAATTATTAATTTGGATATATGAATTGTAGAACATAAAGAGAATTTATCGAAAAGAATATTCTTCATTCAAATATTAGTCTTTTAACATGATGGGAATCTTTTAACGAACAAAATTTATATTATCTAACATCCAACTGGTTTACGTACTAACTGATCAGCTAGTAAGAATCAGTATTGATTTGATTGAACTCTATCAGTCAGATTACAATGCAGCCAACAATTCATGTCGTTAAACATTTCACTTTAGTCTAGAGTAAAATAATTCTCCAAACTTGGATTATTCCGCGTTAAATACAGAGACGTGAAGAATGATATGTGAAAATAAACACAACATACACTACTACTTAATGGCACTTTGATTAAAATATATGCCTCATGAGAGGTCGATATTGCCCCAAAACATTCGGTAGTAATGTCTTTCGGTAGAATAAATAAATGACACAGATTCAGATAACATGGTAAGCACGAGATTTCTAAAGACTGCTGATATATCATGCTAACGACTGCTAATTAAAATGAAACCTAGATTCCAGATATCGATGTTGTTTTCTCACCAGTACATAGCAATAAACTAACAAATTTTGACGATTTTATTCATATCGAATCTGTTTTCTAATTAGTGCAGAAATATGGACCAAATGTATTTACATTACTCAGATTAGAGAGGCTACTTTAGGGATCGAATTGTTTGTTGGAACACACTAGTGCACTTAGCTATGAATCACAGGTTTTATATGAATACTAGTAGTGTTACCACAGTTCGAACCGACTGCTCCGGACATACTGTAATTACGTCAGAACATCATTGGGAAATAAGTTAATAAACGTCATGAGTAACATCTTAATAATATGAAATCTAGTTGAAACGAGTCAAATGAAACAAGACTTGAATAAAAATAAGGAGAATCCACTGAAGAGAACTTTCTTTTCGAGGAAATCATTTTCTTAGGCTGTAGATTCGTATTTATAGAACACGTATAGAGAAGGATAGGAAAGATTGCATCATAAAGTGATTCGCTCTGAAGGAGTTTTCCTTTAGACTAATCTGCACAATCAAAGGAACTGGGTAGAAGAAAGGTCGAATAAAAAACTTTTAGTGGCCCGTAATGACTGCAATTTGATCGTTTACTGCTTATTATCGAAATATACATGTCACCAATCCTCGTATATTATCGACTTAAATCGCGTTGGTGAACAACGGAATTAAATAAGTCGAATACGAGAACGAATTACGAATACGTAAATTACGTACAATCAGAGAAACGAAGAGAAGAGAGTGAAGCGAAATGACGCGCAGTGGAGAAAGCGTGTGAACCAATTCAGTTCAACTAAGCGTAATCGATATTTATAGTTACACAAAAAAGGTTATAAACATGTGATGAGTGTGATAAGAAGTGCACACACATACGCTCATATAAAAACAGTCAAAGTTGATAAGTGAATAATTAACATGGTCAAAATGTGACTCAAGAAGAATGAATAAATTGGCTTGTCCGGAAGCGAGAATAAGCTACGTGGGCTTCACATATCAACCGACACTACAAGCTTATGCATGGCTGATGCGTTGGCGATCCACCCATTCAAGCCGGAACTTTGCGTACAAAAACGATACGTCCAACCTCTTATCTTTCTTTGACCCTAATTCCCTTATTTAAATTAGTGTTTTGTAATTTTAAACTGCAATCAGTTATTACTATCCGTTAAGAATTTTTCATGATGATTATTCAGTTGTTATTATGACGTCTATGTTTTTCGCTTTTCTTCACATCTGTCAAGTGGACAATTATTTTTCATAATTCTGACCCGTAAATTATTTTTATCCTACTATTCTTTTTTAACGTGGCCCATACTCCTCCATGAGGGGTAACAGATGTAAATAAGTAATTTCCCTTTAGCACCCCTGATTAATACGTAACCTCATTTGATATTTAGACTATCCAATAACTTTATGACACAATCTTTCCTACCCTTCTGTATACATATATTTACGATACAACTACAAACACGAATATACAACTAAGTGATTTCGTAGAAAATAAAACTTCCTTTAGTGAATTCTCTTTATTTTCATTCAATGACACAATGAGTTATTTTAATTATCCGAAACAAGACTTGATTTGAATTTGTAGACAAATTTTTAAAGACAAAAGTATTGAAATACTTTGTGTAAATTATTATATAGATGGCATACATGGCGATCCGACAAAAACAATTTAATGTTCAACACGTTTGTTGATGAGCAATCAGTAACAACATGCTACATATATATTACATTAAAAACACCAATAATGCTATCTTATATATTGATTTTTTACGTTAAAACAAGGTTGCTAAGTTAACTAAGGCAAAAATAAGCGAGCAAACGTGTTCGAGATTTTCCGTACATACTAGTTTTTTGCGACACGATAACTATGTACAGCTTACTGTACTTGGTCCAGATGGATTGGTTCCAGAGGTCTGTAAGGATGGTGGTCCAATTCTAGAGACTAGGTTGACTAATATTTTAGCTAAAATCTGGGAGTTAGACGTTATCCCACCCAACTGGTAACAATCACTTATCGTCCCAATATTTAAAAAAGGGTCACAATCATCCTGTGACAACCACAGAGGGATTAGTTTAACTAATAAAGTATCTAAAATACTAGCCTCGATAATTATCGGACGCCTAACTAAGACTTGTGAACTTCAAACACGAGAGAATCAAGCTGGCTTCAGACCTGGTTGTGGATAGATAGACCACACATTCACCATTCGTCAGGTTCTGGAACACAAGCAAACTTATCGGCGTCCAATAATGGTGGTCTTCCTCAACTTAAAAGCAGCATTTGACTCTGTAGATCGAGAGGTTCTGTGGTAGTGTCTGTCATTGAAAGACGTACCTCAGAAGTACATAAACCTTGTGAAGGCTGTTTACTAGAACACTACTGTTCGGGTCAGAGCTTATGGCGAACTGTCATCCGCTTTTGCAACCACAAGTGGTGTCCGTCAAGGCAGTCCACTTTCACCATTTTTATTAACTCCATCATAGATCTACTGATGGAAATAACGCCATCATCAACTGAATTCTCAGGCATTGATCTCCTACAAGGAGGTCCACTTATCGACTTAGAATACGCAGATGACATAGTTCTGTTTGGTGAAGAAGCTAATAAAATGCAGAGTCTTTTGGTAGTACTGTGCAACAAACCCAGGATGTTTGGGATGTGTTTCTTCCCCTCAGAAAGCAAATTATTACTTCAGAACTGACCTGTGTCAACACCTGAACTGAGGATAGGGATTGAAGTAGTCGAACGCGTCGACAACTTTACTTATCTTGGAAGTCTGATCAGCCTTAATTGGTTGGTAGATGCAGACTACTTGGTTGGGGTCCATGTGACTACCGCAAGTAATGGTTGAAGACTCTGAGTGCAATGGCTCAGAATCGATCCCGATGGCGTCGGTGTATACACTGTTTGTCTTCCCTTAAACTGTGAGGTTAAAATCGGTTTATATCTTTCTTTTTAGGAACTAATTCTCTCTTCATGTACTATGTCCTTATATGCAATCATTTTTTATGTTACCACCACTTAATTAAGTGGTGTTCATCTTGTTGTGCTAATGAGGTGTGGCAACTTGGACCGATGCATATATGTGCCTGGTCCTACGTTGCAGCTGACTGACTGACTAACTGTTTTATATGCTGATGATACCACATCTGAAACTGAGTAAAATGACCAGTAAGCTACCATTTTACGAAATATTTATTGAATTCTAGTTACCTTTTTATTACTGTGTGCTAACTAAACAAAAGTGAAAGATAAATTTGAATTTTAATAGGGATTGTTTGGAGCTCATTTTCAAAAAAAATTTGATTATTACCAGCTTTGTAATTGTTTTGATATAAGTATTTTTAAATTTGAAACTACAACCTAAGAACAATCATTATGGCAGAGGCAGCTAATGAAACGATAAGACAGTGCTAAGTTCAATCAATTATCACATCTATCAGTTAAAAATCAGGGTCACTATCAAATTTCCTCCCCATACAAAACGTGTGACTTGAAGTTTAACGTAAAATTTGTGCTTCTATTTATAGATAAATAACTGTAGACTGATATCCAATAAATTAATAGTTTAAGTCTCACACAACAGTAGTAAGTGATGATGTTAAGCTGAATGAAATTAAACCCTATTAAGTGAGTATAAAATGCTATGATGCCTAGATCTAGAGCCTATTGATAAACCTATAAACAAATATAAATTTTGATAAATATTTAATAAAATATGTACAATATAAAGAGTTAACAATTAACCTTTGGATATGTATAAGCAACAGAATGTACACCTTGACTAGCCATTATTAAGGAGATAAGAATAATTTTATCTTCTGGCACATCATGTTCCACTAATATACGCATAGCCATTATAGCAGCCGCTCCAGTAGCCACAGTGGCATCCATAAGTATAACAAAACAATCCTTTATAAAAAAAGAACAATGAACCGCGAATTCACTGGTGAATTTTACCAAATACAAAGTGAATGACAAGAATGAGATTAATTTTATAATGCACATGCCAATTCAATTTATTAAAAAATTGAATGACGACAAAAAATAATACACACATTAAGACGATTTTCACTTTCAGCATTCTATACATACACGTATATAGGTCATTATATTTATAACTAGAATAAATTTTAGAAAAAATGCACAGGGTTATTTCATTTACTTGACTGGTATTTATCAATACAAAATGTTTTAGTTTCTAGACAATGTTGTTGTTTTTCGTTTGAATAAAGAGACGATGACGATCAATAATTTATTTATTTATTTATTTATGGCTTGAACATCTTTTTTCATACACTAACTTTTTTCGTTAGATAATAAATGAATTATCTTTACGAATGAAAGTCAGACTGAATTGAATGACATTGGTTTAAAATCACAATTTGATGGTTGGAACATGGTTGCTATAATCACTCAGCCATTGTTTCAAACTACTGTGAATTCTGAAAATGTCTATATCATTAGTATTGGAACAACGAATTAATCACAGGCAATTCCGATTATAAACTCTAAGGAATAATACTGATTCATATTGCTGTAAATATTCAGAAATATTTATCTAAGAGAGAGGTTTATAAACGTATCTACAGTACATTTCTTATATACAAATACAACACTAGCAGACCATGAAACTTGTTTTTGTCCCTTAATTTTGTGACAGAAGACTTGACTGCTTCTGGTATGGAAAAACTACAGTCAATTCCGCAAAAGTAGGCTCAAGTCAGTTTACCAATCTTTAAAAAAATTATTCCTATGTGAAATAATACTTTGTAAGAACTACAATGCGTTTGAGAGAGACAATTTGAATAAAATTTTCAAATATATAAAATTATTTAAAGTGATGCAGTTTTTATAACAGATTAAAATTAGCTGAAGAACCAACAGGAGCCAAGAAAAGATCAGAAAGTTTCGTTTCTTGTTACTATAAGAATGATTCTTCAACGATACATGATGAAATTATCATCGAGGTACTCGGAATCTTTAGATGACTCGTGTTTAAACAAAATAAATCGTATTACAAGTAGCCAAAAACAGGTAATCTTATTTTACTGAATACACAGGTTAGTTAACTCCGCCTGTAGCTCTTCCAGAGTTACTGCCGGACCCAAGCCCGGATAAAGGAGGAGGGTTGAGCATGGGGTTAGCGTCCCCGTCCCGTAGAAAACTAACTCGCTAAAAAAACGCTAACCAGAAAAAATAGCTCAAACCATTTAAACTCTGCCCTGAGAGTTAGAAGGTCTTCATTTAGAAGAAATATGACGCCTCAGGGTGAAAGCCGAGTACCTTCGGTAGCCGTGAGGCCGATGCCCCTCCTAACAACCAGAGCAACAATTTTTATAGGTACATGGAACGTCCGGACAATGCGGGAGACCGGGAAGACCAGTCAACTAGCAACGGAAATGTGGAGATACAACTTGGCAGTACTGGGAATCAGCGAAATCCATTGGACCAAAGCTGGACAACAAAGGCTAAATACGGGAGAGATTCTTCTATACTCCGGTCACGAAGAGGAAAATGCTCCACACACTCAGGGAGTTGCTCTAATGCTGTCCAAAGCAGCACGAAATGCACTTATAGGATGGGAATCTTACGGATCCAGAATCATCAAAGCATCATTCAAAACAAAGAAGGAGGGGATCACAATGAATATTATCCAATGTTATGCACCCACCAATGATAGCAACGACGAATTTAAAGATCAATTCTATGAGAGGCTGCAATCAATCCGAGAGAAGTGCCTAAGAAAGGACCACACCATTCTGATGGGAGATCTAAACGCCAAAGTCGGAATAGACAACACCGGATATGAAGATGTCATGGGACTACATGGACTGGGAGAGAGAAACGAAAACGGGGAAAGATTTGTAAATCTGTGTGCATTCAACAAATTGGTCATAGGCGGCACAATATTTCCACACAAACGTATACACAAAGCTACATTGATCTCACCGGACCACAACACAGAGAACCAGATAGATCATATTTTCATCAATAAAAAGTTCCGAAGGACAATGGAAGATGTGAGAACCAGGAGAGGAGTGGACATAGCTTCAGATCACCACCTGGTTGTGGCCAATTTAAAACTGAAGCTAAAGAAGAACTGGACAAACAGCACTACAAAGGTTCAATACAGCCTTCCTTCGAGATACTGACAAACTCAATGAATTCAAGATAGCTCTCAACGACAGGCTACATGCCCTACAGGATCTGCTGAAGAAAGAAGAAACTATTATGAAGAACAACTGGAAAGGTGTCAAAGAAGCATTAACTTCAACGTGTCAAGAGGTTCTGGGCTTCAAGAAGCATCATCATAAGGAATGGATCTCTATAGAAACACTGGACAGGATCAAAGAAAGGAAGAACAAGAAGACAGCAATTAACAATAGTTGAACACGAACAGAGAAAGTCCAAGCACAAACTGGGTACATAAGAGCAAACAAGAAAGTGAAGAAGAGCATTAGAGCCGACAAAAACAGAAATACATGGAAGAACTCGCAACTACGACGGAAAAAGCTGCAAGAGAAAGAAATATGAAACAGCTTTATGATACAACGAAGAAACTAGCAGGGAAATATAGTAAACCAGAGAGACCGGTCAAAGACAAAGAAGGCAGGCCAATCACTAAAATTCAACAACAGCGGAACAGATGGGCAGAGTACTTCGAGGAACTCCTGAATAGGCTGGCTCCATTGAATCCACCGGACATCGAAGCAGCACACACAGATCTTCCTATGGATGTCAATCCATCAACGACGGAAGGAACCAGAATGGCCATCAGACAAATCAAGAGCGGGAAAGCAGCAGGACCCGGCAATATACCACCTGAAGCACTGAAGTTAGACATCGAAGTAACTGCAAACAAACTCCACCTTCTATTCAAGCTTTGGGAGGAGGAACAAGTGCCGATGGACTGGAAAGAAAGACACCTCATCAAGATCCCAAAGAAAGGAGATCTGAGCAAGTGTGAAAACTACAGAGGCATTACACTACTGTCAGTACCAGGGAAAGTCTTTAACAGAGTGTTGCTGAACCGGATGAAAGACGCAATAGATGCCCAACTTAGAGATCAACAAGCTGGATTCCGTAAGGATCGGTCGTGCACAGACCAAATTGCGACACTACGGGTCATCGTCGAACAACCAATTGAGTGGAATTCGTCACTGTACATCAACTTCATTGATTATGAAAAGGCGTTTGACAGTGTATATAGGAGAACGTTATGGAAACTTCTTCGACACTATGGAGTTCATGAGAAGATTGTCAACATTATCCAGAACTCATACGATGGACTACAGTGCAAAGCCGTGCATGGAGGACAGTTGACAGACGCATTCCAAGTAAGGACCGGAGTAAGACAAGGCTGTCTACTCTCTCCCTTCCTGTTTCTTCTGGTGGTCGACTGGATTATGAAGACCTCGACATCTGAGGGAAACTACGGCATACAATGGACAGCTCAGAATCAATTAGACGACTTGGACTTCGCAGATAAAGACAGCCAGCATAGCAGCAGTCTCTGCATCAGTAGGCCTCAACATACACAAAGGGAAAACCAAGGTCCTCAAACACAATACGGAGAACAGCAATCCAATCACTCTTGATGGCGAAACTCTGGAAGATGTGGATTCCTTCACATACCTGGGAAGCATCGTCTACAAACAAGGAGGTTCAGATGCAGACGTAAAGGCGAGGATTGGCAAAGCAAGGACAGCATTCATTTAAATGAAGAACACATTACGTCGGGAAATAGAGGCGGATATGAGAAGGATGAATAACAACAGGAAAGAGCTGGAAAGGATTGTGCAGGACAGGGTTGGATGGAGAATGCTGGTAAGCGGCCTATGCTGCTTCACGAGCAGTAACAGGCGAAAGTAAGTAAGTAACACAGGTCAGCTAGTTCAATTCATTCAATAGAGGGGTAGTAGTAGTGGTGGTGATGGTGGTAGTCCCAAATTTAATGTATATGATATAGAACTCCATAACTAACCATGATTACATAGATATTATACTTCCCTAGATTATATATTGATGAACCGAATTTCTACTTCAAACAAAATATCTTCCATAATAAACGTTTTAAGTTAGCATTAAATATTTAAAAACAGCCACAAGATACATTCACAATCAATTAGTTAAGTGTTTCACTCTATTGAGCAGTTATTAATATTAATAATAAATATTAAAAAACCCGACGAAAAAAATAGTGAACTGCATCTTACATAACTGAAATTAAGATAATTATGTTTTAGTGCACAAACAAAAAAAGAATGAAGCACTCACTTTAATATCTCGAGGTAAACGAATATAGTGTAATTCAGGTTCAGATGTGACTGGATTGGTTTGTATCAAAATTTTGCCCAAACGGATATCTTTACACACAGCGCATAAAGCCGGTTCAAGTACTTCACCTGCTCTTAGAATAGATACACCACATACTTGAGTGCCAGTAGCTAATTTCCGACCACGATAAGTGATACCCTGAGGAGTCTCGATATCTATATCCTTGTGGAAAAAAAGTAGATAAATTTCGCAATATACATATGACTTGAAAATGAGATTATTTAGAAGAGTGAACTAGGGGAATATAATTCAGTAGGTGAATAGTAAACTGCTTAGTAGAATATCGTTCGATATAAGACAAGAGGTGTACAAAATAATACTGAGCTGTTCAGTGCACTTTATTTTTGAATAATTCTCTAGATAATGCTTGTGACGTTTTTCAAATTTATTTCCTAATCCATCGATTCCTCATATATCTAATTCCAAATAATAGGCATTACTAACTTCTTTCGTGAATGATGACGACGCAGCAATGCAATATTTAATTTCAATTTCATGAGACAACAAATACACTATCAGTATTATAAGACTACAAGTAATTAACTAGGCACTTTGACGATACACAAAATACGATGGAGACATAATTATAAATGCACACCGATCTAATTTGATACTCTGCATATTATATGAGAAAGGAAAGGTTAAAATGAGAAAATCTAAAAAATAGTGACTCCATAAAGCGATTAAAGAATACGGTGAGGAAGGGAAATTAAAAACAAAAAATAATACAGTTCTTAACATTGGAAGAACAATTAATGCTGGATATATTTCTACGATCTACTCTTCAATTATTGATTACTGTTGCTTAGAGCAGTATTCTGAGATAGGCAGTAGGTATACAGATGTCGTAAACGTAACAATTACTTCAGTATAAACTAGTTCACAACAAAATTCATTGGATTATCATCATTACCCTATACTTTCTACCTAACATGATTATTGCTCTCCCACCTTAATGGTTTCATTCTACACGAGGAATGCTTTAAAAACACGTATGAGCAAATATATATGATGTACACCCTCCTAAGTGGTTATGATATGAACACATGAAGTTATACAGAATGAAGTAATGCATTCTTTATTAAGTAATCAAATATTTTATCGATACTACTAGTTGTATAAGATAAGGAAAAAGCCACGCAAAAAAGCTCCAACTTGGCATGATGATGAATCATAGAAATTAACTAAAGTGTGAAACGTGCTAGAACAGTCAGCTTTCTATCATTCGGATTGATATCGATGCGAACAAGCATTCCAAAATTGGAAAGCATGATATCCACAAAAGAATTCCCATACATCCATTTACGCTGATCAGAAGCAGTTTTCGTCTAAGGTTTATACTTTCATGGAACTCTGAACACTGTTCGTTATAACTGAATACATGAGAATAAAAACATCCAACATGAAAGTAATCCATAATTATTGATCCCAGTAGCCATCAATCACTGATCACAATTTTATGATTAAAAATATCTGGTCTCTAGGAACAAGCACACCAAATATCAGCTCAAAAGTGCCTACTTAACAAATGGTATGGATATCTAAATATAGCTGTAAAACTTTATTAGAAATAAAGACAAATATGTTATTTATCTATGAGCATTACTTACCATATGAGGAAGCAGATTCATTGCAGCTTCACATAAAGGACGCATCAAACGTTCGGCATAGAAAACAAATGCATCTTGATTGGTGCTCCGATCACGAATTAATGTATGCAGACCAAGTCTTTGAGGTGTGGAAGGTAATACATAAACCTGAGGTGGGAGACATAATCTATCAGATGTACCATTAGTAATATATTGCTTGTTATGATACAGATGGTTGTTCATTGTAAAAACATCATCTAATGTATTATTTATACCAGTTGAATTATTGTCCTCCCAAGTTGTATCATTGGAATCTGTTGGTAACGCACCATTAGAAAGTATGAATGGGAATTTAGCAAATTCATGTCTGGTTCGTAGTCCACACTTGATATGAAAGATAAACAATGCCAAATTAATAATACAAAGTAAAAAGAGTTAATGCTACATTCATTTGAAAAACATATCTCATGTGAGGGTTAATAATATTATCAAACAGAACAAAACAAAAAAAAATTGAACATGTGACTCTGGAATTAAAGGTCGACTGATTTAACGATTAGAGCCAATAAGAAACAAACAAACATTAAACGTTTTACTTAAACATGGTAAACACGAATTGAAATGAATATTTGAGTTGAAATTAAGAGATTGCTGAAAATTAATGAAATTCATGTGAAATTCCAAAAGAAAATGACAAAATCAGAATAAAACACAAAGTACTATATATTGACACTATCAGAAACTGATGCTTATATATATATAATTCAACCTTATTAAGCAACTAGCATAAATTTATAGGAGTTGGCCTAAAGAAATATCAATATTACAGGGTGATAGAGGAAGTGAAATTTTGTGTAATTCATAATGATGTATGGTCTCGGTCAGTCAGTAATTCGTTCACAGCGTAGAACCTTGTACTTGTGTACATCAGTCCAAGTTGTCATATCACTTTTTTAGACGACCGCCATTCTGTTCGCTGAGCCTCAACATCGCAATATTTGTTTGAGTGCCTTTCGATTTGGTTTAGTCTACATACTTGAACAGTAAAATCACCTGCCAATATTACTGAGTCAGAGCGTTTAACTTTTCGAAGAAGGTTAAACAGCTTCCCATAAAATCTATCTTTAACTTCATTCAAACTGCAATCAGTGAGAGCATAGGTAGAGACAACGTAGTGTGCTCCAACCTTTCTGAGTTCTGAATGTCCTGTTTAGTCGGACAGTGCACAAGCGACTATATATTGGAATAAAGTCTAACAGAACCTGTTCTGCTTTAAAAATTAATGCTGCACCTACACCGCCGAGGCCACAGGACGTTGTAGTGATGTCTCTAAATACTCGAAGGGGTAAATTGTGCCGGTTCTTTATATTGACAAGGTGAGGTCAAATAAATCACCGTACTCACATCCTGTACGTACGTTTCGGAGAAAAAGATGTTGGAAAGATCAAAAAAATTCCTCAAAAAAAGCCAAAAAGGCTCCGAAAACACTGATAAGCATCTTATCCAATCAGCGTTTAATAGAAGTTTTGCCAAAAACACCAAGGAAGTCAAAAGTCATATGTCGCGTTTCTGATTTGATGATTACCTATACTGCTACTATGTTTAGTAGCGTTCGAGAATTTCCCGGAAGCCCAAGGTCATCTAAAATGCTATAAATACCCTAGATTTTCTGAACATGAAGGAACCATTGGAGTACAGCGTTTTATTTCATATTTCGTGCCTTTCCTCTCGTATTTAAATTGCTGTGTATATTCAGCCCGAGGGTTAATAGAGAGCTTAGGAAACCGAATCTAGCTTTTAATAAGACTTATCAGCAACATACATTGATAGCGTAAGATTCTAACGTCCTAGCAAAGATGCCTGTTGCCCCTATCTGACACAAGGTTTGAACATTAAAAGCTCTAACATGTAGTTTAGAGAGTGGTCTCAGGAGACCAGGAATAATTTTCTTTGAACTCAAATCATTAGAATTAGTAGCGCGTGGTGATAAATATATGCCGGAAAGGTTAGTCGCAGGGATATGAGAATTATTAAGGTGATGAAGGGAGTTGATGGCCAACAAGATAAGATTGGGTGCTGACAGAGGCGAAAGAGCGGCTGTAACTTCCCAGTTGCTTACACTGTGGAAGGATATTTCCTCTTGAGAGAACTGAAAAACAAGCTGAATTAGTGGTGGCCTTGGAGCATGACTGCAGAGACCAATGGACAACTAATTGGGGCGAGTTGCGCACGGCCTTTTTATGGGAAGTTTTCGATGTATACACTTCGCACTTCAAAAAGCCTTACCGACGGAGACAGAAATCTGTAGGTAAGGTGAGGTGTGGTATTTTCTAGGATCAACCTTTTCTAACCACTTCCGTCTGTTATGAGAAGACAGCATCACCTTACTGCTGTCATACTCCTCTACACTCAGCAGCACGAACTCGGGCCTTAAGTTGCTGCTTTTATTCTTACCGTTCTCCAAAAGACCTGGTTGGCATGGTGGTATTGTAAACGACAATATAGACGAGGACAACCGAATGTATTTAAACACAAAATTGCAGTTTTTTTGGTCAAATGTGAAAACCATACGTTCAATACTTCATTTTCAAATCCTCCATCAATTGTTTCAAGCTTCATCGTTCCTTCATTGCTATAATAATTACTCTCTGTTCCCGTTCTCTTCAATTCGATCTCCCCAAACTTCTGATGCCAGGCATTCTATTTCTGACTGGTGTTATACACTACTTATGTCGACATAAGCAGTATACACTACAGTAGGACTTAACCAGATTGAGTCATCAAAATATGCAAGTCCGACAACCACGTCAAGGCACTACCTAAGGTTGGGTATATGTTCTAGATCCTATCGAGTAATTTATTCTTTTGTTGGACTAATCAGCATAAATATATTAACTTTTCGACAATTAAAATCCTAAGTACATATGAACAGTTGTGTTTGTGTTAGACAATAATTGTTCGTAGTCATATGTCAGGTGGTAATTTTTCGATATTGCTTCGATCCGGTAAAACAACCAGTTACTGGCAGGGGATAATAGCATGCGTCGTGAATCTGTTCAATGCAAGCCATCCCCAATTATTGTATCGATATACTTGTCTCCGAAGAATATACCTCAAATCGATTACAATCTTGCAAATAGATCCATCTTTTGTTTCTTAAATCCTGAAGATTGTTACGTTTTTTGTTTAGTAAAATAATAATTTGAATAAGTCAAAACGTTTTAGAATACTGGATTACTTCAGACTACACAGCTTGAGTCAAGAGTTACGATATATTTTACGCGAACCTAAAATTAAGTAGGTAGGAGTCACTAAAAGACAAGTAAAGTCATGATATTATCAACTACTCATATGAGCGCTGAATCATATTTTTCGACTTCTACAAATCTAAAAAAATCATCTGTCTTTGTTAAAATATTGAAGAGACAATGAAAATTTGAATTGTACAGGAAATTATAGTTAATATTTTCGCTGGATTACGGTATTTTCTAATAAACTCGCATTCGTTAACTTCCATTTAATTCATAAACTGCCTTTTGTCTGAGTCCCAATTACTCCCTTTTTGTAAAACTTATAACTGTTTTTTATACCTTGTAATTTCCTATTTTTGTTGTTATATGGCCAGGTTATTCTGATTAGTGTTTTCTAGCAAGGTTGTTTTCTACGGGATGGGGTTGCTAGCCCCATGCACAACCCTCCTCTTTTAACCGAGCTTGGGACCGGAAGTAACCCTAGAAGAGCTAAAGGCGGAGTTTATTTGATGCTATCCAAATAAGCACGTAAAGCGCTTGTACGATGGGAATCTCATAGAATCAGGATTATCAAAGCATAATTCAAAACAAAGGATGAAATTACAGTGAATGCGATGTACAAATCAATAATAGTAACGACGACGATAAAGATCAGTCCTACTCGGGACTGCAATCGATAATAGCGAAGTGTCCAGAAAAGGTCGCGAACGTCCTGATGGCAGACCTAAAAGCCAAAGTCGGAACGGACAACACCGGATATCAAGATATCGTAGGACGACATGGACTAGGAGAAAGGAACGAGAATGGTAAGAAAGTTGCAAATCTGTGTGTCTTCAGTAGCTCAATATTCCCCCACAAATGCATAAACAAAGTTAAATAGGTCTCACTGAAGCACACTTTAGAGAACCAGGTTGATCAAAATTGCATCAACAAAAGGTTTGGAAGGACAATGGGAGACGTGAGAACAAGGAGGGGAGTTGACATAGTTACAAATTATCACCTGATAGTGGCGTATATCAAAGGGAAACTAAAGAAAACCTGACAAATTGGGGAAGCAGCATTACAAAGGTTAAACACAGCCTTTCTTCGAGATACTGAGAAACTAAAGGAATTTAAAGTGACTCTCAACAAGTTCCAACCCTAAATGATTTACTCAAAGAATAAGAAACTACTGTAGAGGACAACTGGAAAGAGATCAAAAAAGCACTAACTTCAACGTGTCTGGAGGTTTTGGGACGCAACAAACGTCATCATAAGGAATGAATTTTAATCGCAACCCTTGACAGGATTCAAGAAAGAATGGACAAGAAGACAGCAATAAACAACAGTCGAACAAGAACAGAAAAAGTCAAGACACATACAAAATACACTGAAATAAGCAAGCAAGTGAATAAGAATACTAGAGCTGACAAGCAGAAATATGTGGAAAACTTAACGACGATAGTGGAAAGAGCTGCAAGATAAAGAAATCTAAGACAACTATATGATTGAATGAAGAAACTGGTAAGAAAGTATGGGAAAACAGAATGACCAGCCAAGAAAATAGGAGGCAAACCAATCACTAACATTCAAGTATAGAGAAACAGGTGGGTAGAGCACTTTGAAGAACTTTTGAATGGACCAGCCACGCTGAATCTGCCGGACATCAAAACGGCACACACCATCAAGAATCGAAGAGATCCGCGTGGCCGTCAGACAGCTGAAAATTGGGAGAGTGGCAAGACCAGACAATATGCCAGCCGAAGCACTGAAGTCAGACAGAAGTAACTGTAAACATGCCCAACGTTCTACTCAAAAGATTTGGGAGGAAGAACAAGTGACGATTGGCTGGAAAGAAGCCATCTCATCAATATACCAAAGAAAGGAGACCTGGGCAAATGTGAGAAATTAAGAGGAAAACCTTCTAACTGTGTTGTTGAACCAAATGAAAGATTCAGTGGACAACCAACTTCAGGATCAAAGGGCTGAATTCCGTAAGGATCGATCGTGCACAGACCAAATCGCAACATTACGGATTATCGTTGAACAATCACTTAAATAGAACTAATCACCGTTCATCAACTTCCTTGATTATGAGAAAGCATTTCACAGTGTGGACAGGAGAACATTATAGAAACTTCTTCAACAATATAGAGCACCTGAGAAGATCGTAGACACCATCCGGAATTCATACGACGGACTACAGTGCAAAGTCGTGCATGGAGGACAGCTGACAGATGCATTCCATGTGAGGACCGGAGTCAGACAAGGCCGCATACTCTCGTGCTTCCTCTTTCTCCTGGTGGTTGACTGGATTATGAAGACCTCAACATCTGAGGGCAAGCACGTAGTACAATTGACAGGTTGTATGTGGCTAGATGATTTCGACTTCGCAGATGACCTGGCCCTTCTATCTCATAAGCACGAAAAAATGCATGTAAAGACAGCTAGTGTAGCAGCAGCCTATGCATCCGTATGCCTCAACATACACAAGGGAAAAACCAAGATTCTCAAATACAACACAGAGAACACTAACCCAGTCACTCTTGATGGCGAAACTCTGGAAACTGTAGAAACATTCTCGTACCTGGATAGCATCATCGATGAACGTGGATCGGATGCAGATATAAAGGCGAGGATTGACAAAGCAAGGACAACATTCTGATAGTTGAAAAACATATGGAACTCAAAACAAATGTCAACCAATATCAAAGTCACACCTTTCAATATGAGCGTTAAGACAGTTCTACTGTACGGAGCTGAAACGTGCAGAACTACTACAACCATCACCAAAAAGATACAACTATTTATAAACAGTTGTCAACGCAAGATACTCAACATCCATTGGCCGGATACCATCAGCTGAGGAGGAAATTAGGAAAAGACGTTGGAGGTGGATAGGACATACGTTGCGGAAATCACCAAACTGCATCACGAGGCAAGCCCTAACCTGGAATCCTGAAGAGAAAAGGAAGACCATAGAACACACTGTGCCGGGAAATGGAAGCAGACATTAAAAGGATGAATAGGAACTGGAAAGGAATGCTCAGGGCAGTGTTGGACAGAGAATGCTGGTAGGCGGCCTGTGCTCCTCCACGAGGAGCGACAGGCGTAAGCAAGTAATGGTTAGGTATTTCAAATATATTAATTCATGAATTTTGAGTCATCACTGGATAGACTACAATAGATAATTAGTCTGCCTCCTACCCTCGTTTTCTGATTGGATACTGGATTGGAAGGATCTCAAGACTAATAGGTGTTACGTTCTTGGTTGTTGTTCGTTGGTCACTGTGTCATTTAGTAAATAGGTAGTTGGTCGTGCAAAGAATATAGACCAACTAGTCGGCAACTGAGCTAGATATTACAACTACTCCCAAAGCAACGCACTGAACACGCGAATCTCAGTACAATTTAAGAATCTGTTATTTTTAGAGGGGCATAACAGTTTTTACCTGAACCTTTCTATATATCCAAAATGAAATTCATGTGATAATAAAGACAGATGATGATGCACGACTGAGAGCCACTAACGTAACTGGGCACCCTTTTTGACAGTAGAATTGTTTTGCTCAACTTATTCAACCCACTGTTCTCCTTTACATCTTTTCATTCAACTTATCCCGACAGCGTGAATCTACGTATTACTGCTATGTGGTGAAACATTACCGTGTCAAAAATAAAAAACATCAACCATAAATGAGAAATGTACATATTTTCCAATAATAGAAACTACCTGTTTTAAACGTTTATTGATGTGTTGAACAATAAGTTGCAGAGCGACAACATTTTGTCCACCTAAATGTAGAAAAAATGATATGTAATGAATAAAAGTGATTTACTCAAAATGCTTTGTCATTAATTTTTAACTATGATTTCGGTCTTTTGAAGATAAATACATAAACAATATTGATGGACATAATGACGGATACTTGACAAATAAAATTGACAGCCATTTTATCGAATTCAAACTGAAAAATGGATGGCTAGGCTATCCCTTACCAAAAATGTAAAATCAAGAAAAATACTCACCTCTTGGAACAATAATATCTGCTTGAGCCATACTTGGAGCAATAAATTGTTCATAGGAAGGTTTGACAAAACGCATATATTGTTCTAGTACGCTATTCAATTCTCTACCACGTTCACTAATATCACGACGAAGACGACGAGATAAGCGTTCATCTGCGTCTGTATCAACAAACACCTTCAAATCCATTAGCTAGTGAGATGCAGAAAAATACCAGGGAAAAGACCTATTAAGTTAAATGGATCATGCAGACATTCGACTTAAGTTCTGTCGAAACGACAGAACTCAAGGTGGGGGCCCTTTGTATGAAAGACTGTCTAGCTCCCTTTCATGTGCCCGTGCGAAATACCCTACTACCGTTACATTCTGATGTAGTCAACAGTACAACATTGTTTTAAGATCTGAAATTCACAACCTAGTCATACCACTACTCAACCGACTATTCAGATACCTTAGGACCTAAAAACAAGTTTTACAATCAGTATAACTCAGTTTTTTAAAAGAAACAAGCTCCAGCATCGATACGATACATTAGCTCCGACAGGGAAGGTATTTCATTCATTTATTTATTTAAACACAAATATTGGTACAAGGAGGCACCAAATACATATGCGCCACATAAATCATTCGATTTATGTGAGAACTGGGATACTGCACGGGTACCCAAACCGAAGCAGGCGGTTTTCTCAAGGGGCCACACCCCAAGTCTTTGACCTAAAGGTCTAATCCTTAAGGCAGTGGAGCAACGTAAGCAGATGCAGTCTCATGGTAGCCGGTGACCAGCAGTAAGTTCATACGCCATTTGTTTTCTTTAGGATCCTGGAGCCCATGTACACCATTGGTTTGGAATCAGGGTTTCCAACTCCCTTGGGTGGAACCTCTATATCCACCAACCAGGTTAAAGCTCCAAACATTCGCTTTTCGTCCTCTCAATTTCGCAAACGACACCGCCACGAGAAGGTAATGAGTAGGACTTCCCTGGTAGTGGTTGTATGCATGTGGCCATTTGAAAGTATTTCGAGGAGAGCTGGCTCTCCTCAATTTCGGCCGTACCAGAGCATTTGGAGGCGGTAGGAAAGATAAGATGAAAACAAATATAATCAGATTGAACAGATGTGAAAGTACATTTTTTTGCAGTTAGGAGCATTAAATGATCATATCTTATAATTCCATACAAGATCTGAGCACAAAATAGTATTATAAGTATCAAAAATAGTATAAGTGTGTTAATTTAGGCGCAAAATAACCAACCAAAATTAACTTGGAAAATAGATTTAATTTACTTTGGCCACAGCTTGTGAATAGAATACCAAAATTCCTTCAATGATAATAATATTAGCCCCGTAGACAGTATTCTATTGAACACAAGGATATAATAATATTGGAATTTAAAAGTAAACTGTACGTCAATTAACATATGATGATAAAATTCGATCATTTCACGATTATACTGTAAACTATTTGCTAGAATAACTCCGCCTGTAGCTCTTCCAGAGTTACTGCCGGACCCAAGCCCGGATAAAGGAGGAGGGTTGAGCATGGGGTTAGCGTCCCCGTCCCGTAGAAAACTAACTCGCTAAAAAAACGCTAACCAGAAAAAATAGCTCAAACCATTTAAACTCTGCCCTGAGAGTTAGAAGGTCTTCATTTAGAAGAAATATGACGCCTCAGGGTGAAAGCCGAGTACCTTCGGTAGCCGTGAGGCCGATGCCCCTCCTAACAACCAGAGCAACAATTTTTATAGGTACATGGAACGTCCGGACAATGCGGGAGACCGGGAAGACCAGTCAACTAGCAACGGAAATGTGGAGATACAACTTGGCAGTACTGGGAATCAGCGAAATCCATTGGACCAAAGCTGGACAACAAAGGCTAAATACGGGAGAGATTCTTCTATACTCCGGTCACGAAGAGGAAAATGCTCCACACACTCAGGGAGTTGCTCTAATGCTGTCCAAAGCAGCACGAAATGCACTTATAGGATGGGAATCTTACGGATCCAGAATCATCAAAGCATCATTCAAAACAAAGAAGGAGGGGATCACAATGAATATTATCCAATGTTATGCACCCACCAATGATAGCAACGACGAATTTAAAGATCAATTCTATGAGAGGCTGCAATCAATCCGAGAGAAGTGCCTAAGAAAGGACCACACCATTCTGATGGGAGATCTAAACGCCAAAGTCGGAATAGACAACACCGGATATGAAGATGTCATGGGACTACATGGACTGGGAGAGAGAAACGAAAACGGGGAAAGATTTGTAAATCTGTGTGCATTCAACAAATTGGTCATAGGCGGCACAATATTTCCACACAAACGTATACACAAAGCTACATTGATCTCACCGGACCACAACACAGAGAACCAGATAGATCATATTTTCATCAATAAAAAGTTCCGAAGGACAATGGAAGATGTGAGAACCAGGAGAGGAGTGGACATAGCTTCAGATCACCACCTGGTTGTGGCCAATTTAAAACTGAAGCTAAAGAAGAACTGGACAAACAGCACTACAAAGGTTCAATACAGCCTTCCTTCGAGATACTGACAAACTCAATGAATTCAAGATAGCTCTCAACGACAGGTTACATGCCCTACAGGATCTGCTGAAGAAAGAAGAAACTATTATGAAGAACAACTGGAAAGGTGTCAAAGAAGCATTAACTTCAACGTGTCAAGAGGTTCTGGGCTTCAAGAAGCATCATCATAAGGAATGGATCTCTATAGAAACACTGGACAGGATCAAAGAAAGGAAGAACAAGAAGACAGCAATTAACAATAGTTGAACACGAACAGAGAAAGTCCAAGCACAAACTGGGTACATAAGAGCAAACAAGAAAGTGAAGAAGAGCATTAGAGCCGACAAAAACAGAAATACATGGAAGAACTCGCAACTACGACGGAAAAAGCTGCAAGAGAAAGAAATATGAAACAGCTTTATGATACAACGAAGAAACTAGCAGGGAAATATAGTAAACCAGAGAGACCGGTCAAAGACAAAGAAGGCAGGCCAATCACTGAAATTCAACAACAGCGGAACAGATGGGCAGAGTACTTCGAGGAACTCCTGAATAGGCTGGCTCCATTGAATCCACCGGACATCGAAGCAGCACACACAGATCTTCCTATGGATGTCAATCCATCAACGACGGAAGGAACCAGAATGGCCATCAGACAAATCAAGAGCGGGAAAGCAGCAGGACCCGGCAATATACCACCTGAAGCACTGAAGTTAGACATCGAAGTAACTGCAAACAAACTCCACCTTCTATTCAAGCTTTGGGAGGAGGAACAAGTGCCGATGGACTGGAAAGAAAGACACCTCATCAAGATCCCAAAGAAAGGAGATCTGAGCAAGTGTGAAAACTACAGAGGCATTACACTACTGTCAGTACCAGGGAAAGTCTTTAACAGAGTGTTGCTGAACCGGATGAAAGACGCAATAGATGCCCAACTTAGAGATCAACAAGCTGGATTCCGTAAGGATCGGTCGTGCACAGACCAAATTGCGACACTACGGGTCATCGTCGAACAACCAATTGAGTGGAATTCGTCACTGTACATCAACTTCATTGATTATGAAAAGGCGTTTGACAGTGTATATAGGAGAACGTTATGGAAACTTCTTCGACACTATGGAGTTCATGAGAAGATTGTCAACATTATCCAGAACTCATACGACGGACTACAGTGCAAAGCCGTGCATGGAGGACAGCTGACAGATGCATTCCAAGTAAGGATCGGAGTCAGACAAGGCTGTCTACTCTCTCCCTTCCTGTTTCTTCTGGTGGTCGACTGGATTATGAAGACCTCGACATCTGAGGGAAAACACGGCATACAATGGACAGCTCAGAACCAATTGGGCGATTTGGACATCGCAGATGACCTAGCCCTCCTATCTCATGCACAGGAACATACAAGAATAGAGAAACAGGTGGGTAGAGCACTTTGAAGAACTTTTGAATGGACCAGCCACGCTGAATCTGCCGGACATCAAAACGGCACACACCATCAAGAATCGAAGAGATCCGCGTGGCCGTCAGACAGCTGAAAATTGGGAGAGTGGCAAGACCAGACAATATGCCAGCCGAAGCACTGAAGTCAGACAGAAGTAACTGTAAACATGCCCAACGTTCTACTCAAAAGATTTGGGAGGAAGAACAAGTGACGATTGGCTGGAAAGAAGCCATCTCATCAATATACCAAAGAAAGGAGACCTGGGCAAATGTGAGAAATTAAGAGGAAAACCTTCTAACTGTGTTGTTGAACCAAATGAAAGATTCAGTGGACAACCAACTTCAGGATCAAAGGGCTGAATTCCGTAAGGATCGATCGTGCACAGACCAAATCGCAACATTACGGATTATCGTTGAACAATCACTTAAATAGAACTAATCACCGTTCATCAACTTCCTTGATTATGAGAAAGCATTTCACAGTGTGGACAGAAGAACATTATAGAAACTTCTTCAACAATATAGAGCACCTGAGAAGATCGTAGACACCATCCGGAATTCATACGACGGACTACAGTGCAAAGTCGTGCATGGAGGACAGCTGACAGATGCATTCCATGTGAGGACCGGAGTCAGACAAGGCCGCATACTCTCGTGCTTCCTCTTTCTCCTGGTGGTTGACTGGATTATGAAGACCTCAACATCTGAGGGCAAGCACGTAGTACAATTGACAGGTTGTATGTGGCTAGATGATTTCGACTTCGCAGATGACCTGGCCCTTCTATCTCATAAGCACGAAAAAATGCATGTAAAGACAGCTAGTGTAGCAGCAGCCTATGCATCCGTATGCCTCAACATACACAAGGGAAAAACCAAGATTCTCAAATACAACACAGAGAACACTAACCCAGTCACTCTTGATGGCGAAACTCTGGAAACTGTAGAAACATTCTCGTACCTGGATAGCATCATCGATGAACGTGGATCGGATGCAGATATAAAGGCGAGGATTGACAAAGCAAGGACAACATTCTGATAGTTGAAAAACATATGGAACTCAAAACAAATGTCAACCAATATCAAAGTCACACCTTTCAATATGAGCGTTAAGACAGTTCTACTGTACGGAGCTGAAACGTGCAGAACTACTACAACCATCACCAAAAAGATACAACTATTTATAAACAGTTGTCAACGCAAGATACTCAACATCCATTGGCCGGATACCATCAGCTGAGGAGGAAATTAGGAAAAGACGTTGGAGGTGGATAGGACATACGTTGCGGAAATCACCAAACTGCATCACGAGGCAAGCCCTAACCTGGAATCCTGAAGAGAAAAGGAAGACCATAGAACACACTGTGCCGGGAAATGGAAGCAGACATTAAAAGGATGAATAGGAACTGGAAAGGAATGCTCAGGGCAGTGTTGGACAGAGAATGCTGGTAGGCGGCCTGTGCTCCTCCACGAGGAGTAACAGGCGTAAGTAAGTAGTATTAGCTAGAATACTAGACGTGATATATCTATTTGGGTTTGTGTCGAATTAAATAAATGCTTTAATCATTATACTTTAAATTGCGTTCACCTTAAATGCAGAAAACGAAAGAATCTCACTTACCAGTTCTATAACATGTAAGATATTGAAAAATGACCATTATCTTGATTAATGCTACATAAGTCTCAACTATTTTACTTATCAATAAACGTCATTAACAAAAGTATGGGAATTGAAAGATAAAGAGCTTCGAGTAGAAAAAATAAATGGGAAATAAATTTGTTTACTTTATGCAGTATGCTGCAATTTAACAAGTACTTATATCAGGTTTCTGGATTCGGACTAAAGCCAAACTTTTTGAGCAAGAACTGAGGGAACCTAGGTACCCAAAAACAAACAGACAAGTATCTGGGACCGTTAGGCCTTGGAGTGAGCACTTAACTTTCAGAACTGACAGAGCGACAAACTAGAACGAGATAACTGTCTAGTGCTTTCTGATTTTCAATGATTAACCAACTATAGTGAACCCGCACTGTAAACTACAAGAATTCTACATAACTATGAGCTTCTTTTTATTGAGAATGCATAATTTTATTTATTATTTATTTGAACACATAAATATTGCTACAAAGAGGCACCAAATACATATGCGCCACACAACAACAATGAAGATGTGAAAAGAGAGAATCTAAAGCGTTTATAATAAAAAGGAGAACAAAGAATAGAAATTAATGTATGAAAGTGAAATAATGAATAATAATAATATTTATAGGAGAAATAGTTCAATTAGCAAAAATATAACTAGAAAGAATTCTTCCAGTTAAAGAAGTTACGTTCACTTTTATGAAGAAAGTAAAAGAAGATCATAACAGAATAGCCACTAGCTTCTATTCTGA